TATATGCATGACTAAAGTTGATAGCAATTTGAAATGCTTCAGCTATAATTATATCTTGTGTTTTACATTCCCGGCTTAAATGAGCTCTCCTTCACTGATTTATTTTATAGGCAGGAATGACCAAATTGCTACTATTGTCATTGCTTGTACATTCTTCGTTACAAACTCAAGGTATCCAGTATATATAATTATCATGGACCGTTTCAGGAGCTAGTCTAATACAGTTTCCTATAAATTTGATTAACTACTGCCATTACATTATTCTAATGAATATCTTTAGAGAGCCAAGAAAAATTTTATTGTAGTGCAAGCTAAGGAACAAATCTTAAGCATAGGGTACTCAAGAATATTTACTCATAACCAGGGGCGTATCTAGGAATTGGGGAAGGGGGGTGCTGAGGGTGCGCGAAGCGCGCCGCGATTTTGGCCACACCCACTTTTACGGCGGTAAAACGGCCTTTTCCTGCATTTTCGTCAATTACGGGTGGGACCAAGATCATTTTAAGCAAACTGCTATGTTACTGGTACTTCTGATTGCTCCTTAAAGCACTGGAAACTGCTGAAATCATGATAAGGGGGCTAGATAACTTTGTTAAGAGGCTTGGTAGTGATGCAAGAGTCCAGGAGTTCAGTAATTTTTTCTGAGCCCAGTCCTGAGGGGGGTGCTCAAGCCCCCTCAGCCCCCCCCTAAATACGCCTCTGCATAACAATGTGTTGCAGCTACCTAAGCAATATCTAACTTTAGGAGAGGGTATAAATGCATCAAGTGAAGTTGCAGAACAACAAGCGTAACAGTGTAAAAATATTCCTATAATTGATTTCACCACCTTGCATGTACAGCAGGGTTCTTATTAAGACTTATGAAGGTTCTATCTTCCTTCTAATTCTTCCAGAAAAGACTTTAGACAGTATCTCTATGTTCTTTTGCTGTTATAGAAAGCTCATAACTTTGTTCCATGTGCAAACTGCCATTTTGTTTGCCGTAACCACACTCACTTGTGTAGCGTGGGTGGGTGGCTGCTAAGGCTGGGTGAAATCAATTATAAGACGACCTGGAGCTACGCCCCCAGGTCGTAAAAATGT